CGTGTGGATAATATTCGTTCTTTTTTTGCGACTTAATGCATTGCCAAAGCAGAGATTTCAATCCCTCGAAATGATTATGTTTCGCTTCGTTCAATAGTGGAGTTTGCAAGAACTTCATCACCAATGCAAACAACGTATCATCTTGAAAATCGAAATTTCGACCAAGATCAGCCACCTCGAACAAAATTGTATCGAGAATTAGGTTCCTGATCATTGGTTTGTCCAAAGCATAATTTGTCAGCTCTGTAATAACCAGTATCATATCCTTATATATAAGCTCCTTCTTTTCCATTTTTGTTTCTTGTATATAATTAACCAAACTCGTCCACAATATTTTACCAAGCTGGTATCTATTCTTCATTTCCGCATCTGTGAGTTGGCTGAGCACGAGCAGAGCTTCTCCTACGCTGTGAATAATACTCTTGTAACATTCTTGGAAAACGGAATCTGATATAGAATGCGGAAGCCTTTCTTCCAAGATTGGAGAGAAGACGGTGTTTTCTTGCTTCGTGACGAGAAGTTGGCATAGAGCGTCGACGGCGATAACTTTTGTCTTGAAGAACCTTTTGCCTGGCGAAGCTAGTATATCCAATTTCGAAGACATCAATGGCGTATCTCCTAGAGGCCCGAAGCAGAAATTCAAGAACTGCGTGATCACTGGGTTAACGAACTTGCGAATGTCCTTGTAAAGCTTGATGATCACGTGCCACCAGACTTCCAACTTTGTCAGTGCTATCAATTCGTTTTTACTATTTTTAGCGTTCAGAGGAGTACACAGCAACTTTATCCGTCTAGCAGTAGCCAGTTCTTGCGGATCTAACGCAAAATTATCCACTAGTAACTTCCATGACAGGAATGCTTGCCTAAAATATGAAATATTATGTTAGTTCCGATTTCTATTATTCTGTATCTTATATTAGATATTTATTTCTATTAGCAAAGTATTTTTTGTACAAGTATTATTTATACCTGCGTATAATTGTGTCTGTAGACTTGAATGCTTTCTCTTCGACGCTGAGTAAGTTATTTATCAAGCCAGCACCGCGATGAAGATCAACACCGAGAAACTGGATGCTGACGTTCCATTGTGTAGCCCAATCCAACTCGCACATAGATACCAAAAGGAGCATACGTTTGCAGTACACGGACTGCAACGCAGTTTTGTATTGAGCCCATTCTTCGGGTAGTTTATTACGAACGTGCGATGCTATATCTGTAGCGAGTGCTTGTTGTAAGAGATTTAAAGCTGGAGCACGTTGTCGCTTGTGACCCATATAGGCTAATACCATTATTTTATCTAATAAGAGTGCATTAAACTGTAAAAGAATAATTTTCTGTAATATATCTTAATAATTAAACATCGTAAATGTATTTTGACTGAAAATATTATTTGCATTATTTGTATACCCTTTGAACTTTAATATCTGATGTAATTGCAGCCACTTTATACAACCTTCTCAATAAAGTTAAGCAGTAATTAATAGTTTCTTCTTCTAATCTTTGGTCGTCCGATAGTGTTCTACTTTCAGCTTCTGTCAATGCTTCGATGTTATCCACGCACGCAGTTGGCGCCGTCCATGGCATAGCATTCTCTTGTATCGTACACATACAATATTTAAAAAAGTTCACGGTATGTGCATCGTAAGCAACTACAGATATCGCGTTGTCCTCTACCACTTCTAATAATTTCAAAATTTTTAATCTGAAATCGTAACAATATTATCTAGTTTTAGTCACAGATATTACATTGAAATGTAAATATCATTTTGTAAACAAACCTATTTTTCTGATTTATCCGCGACATGCATTCGAATAAATTCAAAGAATGTTCTTTGAAGTCCCGAATGATAACATTTAGCGCTCCGTATGCTTCATTTTGTATGTCGCTGTTTCCATTTGCAAAAGCATCGATAACTAGTTTGCACAATTCTTTGTATTGTTCCTCTTTTATGGTTTTCGTTGCTTCCAACTTTTTGCTGTTGCTGAAATATATAGGATATTCTAGAGGAACTCTTTTTTAACCAAGTAAACTAGAAAGCACGCGTATTCACAAATGATACAGTTAACATGGAATTATATTACAGTCACTAACAATCCTCCCACTTAAGTTTTATGAAACAGTACTAGATACATTCTAGGAAAGAAATATAAAGAGATTTGTGAAAGTATAGGGGTAATTGTCTCTACAGATTCGATATGACAGAACAGAATGCTCCAAGTACTAGGGTACCCTAATTCACGAGCAACTGTTTTTGGTCATTATAAAAGGAATTATCCATTATAAAAGGACTTTGCTTTATATCGAGTAGACATTAAAAATATTCAGGTAACCTCGTACATAAAACACAATGGTACCTGCGAATATAGGTTAAGGCTTCCCGTTTGTCTTTGATGTTGCTATTTTCTCGTAGCATTTTCAGCATTCGCGGGAAAGACTGCATATTAGAAGCCATTTCTCAAGTTTACGTTTCTCGAACAACTGGAGTAACAAGATCCCTTTTTACTGCTTCATAACCGTGCTTGTGGAGATCCAAGACGAATATCATTCGATCACGATACGCTTTTCTTCATCCTCGTTAATTTTTCATGTATACATTGCATCCTACAAACACTCGAAAGAAAAACATGTTGTATGGCAACTGTTAAACATTGGCACATATTTTAATGGATAACAAATTTCCGCGCACCATCTACTCCAATCGTTTCTTCATTTCTTCTTGTTTATTTCTTGCTTCGCTTTTCCCTCCCTTTCTGTATTTTCCACAACGGCCACAAGTCACTAGCGAAATCTCGTTTGTGTTTGAAAAGCATCTATACCTATAACTGGAAACTGACTGGAAAACATAATCGCACAACACACGACAGTTAACACTTCGCATTCCTGGCGAGTTTGCAAAGCGTGTACGTGTGTACACATTCGCTTTAGATGCCGTTTACAATAAACTACTTATTTTTAATCGAATGACAAGATTAATTACTGACACATGAATATATTTCGTTGACGTTTCACAACTTCGAGTATTTTCTTTGCAGATTGGATTTGTATTGGTAAAATTTCTACACATTCTTGATTGTTAAATGTAAATACACGTATGTGTGCACACATACATGCCCTACCACGTGCTCTTCAAAGGCTTAAGCGTTGTCTCGCATAAGTGAACCGAGCGAAGCGAGCAGAAATCTGAAATTATTAAGTGCGTCGTGTAATTGTTAATTTCGAGTAATTTGCACCACTTGAGGTTGCACCGTGCAACTTGCACGTCGATGATAGAGTAAAGCAGGGCTGCCATAAATCCCCTCCACTTTTCTCCGCGTGAATTTTAAGAGAGTTATGCGCAGGCTCGATAAACGAATGATGCGTATGCGCAGTGTTTGAAGGCCACGCTGCCGGCCAGTAAAGTATCTAATATGTTCATGAAACTGGTGTCTTTAGTCGCCTCCTAAAAAATAGAATTATGAAAGGAAAAAAAAATGATATGTTTACCGGACATGACGCATAGTGGTCCAGATTAATAAATTTGGTGACATGGGACAAAATATTGAACTTTCTCGTATCAAAAGGTAATAAATTTGTATTTTTAATTAAATTAGTAAAATCTGTATTTACAATAATTCGTCATGTTATTAACTTATGAGATAGACCATAATTGAACATTATTTCCTCTGTATTCCGTGGTACTGTCGCACAATCTTTGTCCTCCGCTGGTAGCAATTATTGGTAAACTCCTGTGTACATTTATTCCATTTATACAATCGCGAGACAATTTTATTTTATACATTAGTTTGAGATTCGTATAATCTGTGAGTTGTGGTAATTCCCAAATTACTATGTTTCCATCTGTACCACCTAAAGAAATGTCACTTTATCAACATATACCGAATATAATAATTAATAATTGTAACATATTTAATCGTCAATGTACCTGACACTACTTGTTTCCCATCAGCCATGATGTCAAATTGTATTCTTTGATTCGTATCAGATTGACGTCCTTGGAGAGAGTAAAGCACGGTACCTGTATTACGGAGATCCCAGCATAAAAATTCACCGCTGCGTCTTACAGCAGAAAATAATTTTGTACCGCAAGGACTGAACTCGATTTGAGTTACACCATTTCCAGTTTTGAAAGTACACAGTGGTCCATTTTTGTATAAACCTAAAGACATTTTGCAATCTAAGGAACTTATCGTATCTTCTTGAAATACTCGTGTATTTTATACGTACCAATGGATTTAGAATATGTACCAAATGCAACCAATCCTGGCATTATAGGGTTCTCTCGAATACAAGAAACCAATCCTGTGACATTTGGAAAATCTTTTTTAAATTGAATAGAATTTACTTGACGACCTGGTCGTTCGACATCGAAAATTCGCAAGGTATTTTTGAAACCAGCCCATATTTCTCTGGCAGAGTCGATGAACCGAACGCTAATCGAAGCCTCTATTTCGTCGACTCTTAATGTAATAAAATACATAATGTATATTAATCGTCGAGGTACAATAAATAGGAACTATAAATATTTGTCATACTAACTGATTGTAAGCTCGATACGTTGCTCGTAATGTACCATCGAAAGCATCCCACATATGTATGGGACTTTCTCTACTTGTACTTAAAAAACAACAAGTCTCAGACTGCCAAGAATTCATAAACGGATACCAACATGTATCGTATATAAGACCTCCTTCTTTTACACTTAATGCTGCTGGTAAGTTTGTAGATGACAAGTTTAAAGGGATCTTCTCTGAATATAACTCTTTGGGAAGTTCATAAATTCGAATTTTAAAGTCCTCTGAAGGTACCAGTAGACACGTTCCATCTGGAGACCATTGACAACCCTTTGTAAAATTTTCACACGACTGGGATGGTTCGTATTCTTTGGTTGCTTCGCATAATAGTATCGGCGAAGAGTTCCAGTTATAACAGACATAATTGGATCGGTGCACTTGGTCATCTTTCGTTTCTTTGTGATTATTTACAGTATTTGTTGAAACACCTCTACTCTGCACCGTTTGAAATTCTGTGTCAGATTCCTTAAATTCTTCATTGAGTACTTCATCTTTATGTGATTCTTGAAATGCAGTTGTGTCTACATTTTGCAATTCTGATGATTCTGATTTCGATGACAGTTCTAACTGAAACATTAAATAACAGTGAAGCTTTAATAAACTGAGATCACTATTTCAGTGTAATTATAAGTATACATACCACATTCGAAGCAACAGGCTCCGTTAGAATTTCTGTACTATTAGAACATTCCATAGATATTCGACGAATAATAACTCCGATCAGTGATTATAATATATAAAATTGTTTCCAAATTTTTGTTTATTTCACGTGTACAACATTGAATCATTTAACATACTGGCGATTCAATTCTTTGTTTATCCTCATATTCCTGTATAGGTTAGCAATACAAAAATAATAAAGAATAAGGTTTTAATTGGCACATCAGTAAGTCAACATTAAAGACCTTATGTGGGTTATCTAAATATAAACTTATAAACGATAATTATTATTTTATTAATTTGATAAACAATTCTCTCCTGCTCGCTAAGCCGCTCTGTGAGCAGGTAAGCACAGGTGAGCAATTCAGTGGCGCCAACGGTGGCGAAACTATGTAGCGCTAGCCGGATAATCCCCCTTCATTTTTATTCCAGCAAATATTTCTGTGAAACCCATAATTTCGAAGATATCTAAGGTGCTATTAGTTATTGCCCCACCCTGTATACGTACCTTATGAAAAAAATGGAACCAACAATTATAGCTGAGACTAGGATGAAAGAAATAATTATTACGGAAGCAGAAACATATTTTTCGTTTGGTAACCAGCCAAAGATAAAACGTGTCGCCTGGTCTTCCATCAAATATGTCCTCCAATTAGGTGGTCCCAGAACTTAAAAATGCAATTATCAAAAATTCTTACATATATTACGTTTGACGTACACGTAAGAATCATTTACCTTTAAAAAAAATGATGTTCGTCACCCAGTTGAAATTTAAATCGTTCTGTTTGACGGAACATTGCCACATTCCCTCGTGTGTCCTGTTAACTGTTAAGATACGTTCGGTATCCACGGCGAAGGGAAGCGTAATACCATAATCTTTCCATGTTTTGTTCTTCACTTGCCAAGACACACGAAGCTCCGAATAAACATGGCCTAAAATCGTACAATGGCATGTTATAGGTACGCTCAAGGTTTCCCTTACTCGTACATTCTCCTGCAATGGGATCACTGCCAAACTTATCACTTTAATGATCGAGTACGTTCCATCTATTCGACGCAGGGTCATTGCATAAACTCCAGAGTCGTTTGGAGAGGCCCTAATTATTTCTAAATATACGCAAAATCCATTACTACTCCCCTATTCTCTTTAATACGCTATAGTAGGATATCTATGCATTTCTCACTTGGTAAAGTACATACCAATATTATAATCTTTTAATTCCACTCTAGAGGGTTCGTTTTGCACAAATATGCCATTCAAAGACCACTGCATTTCAGAACGAGGTGATTCTTTAACAATCAATTCGACAATATCGTAATCTGCTACAATTTTCGTCGATCGAAATTCTTTTACTATAAGAGCAGTGTAGTTTGTTTGCATTCTCCTAGTTATCAGATTCACTGTATCTGTTTAACGAATTACGAACATCTATCATTATCGACTTATTAAATACATTTTACACGGTTCTCATCGAGTTTCTGTTTTAATATTTGACATATAATAATACTAACCTTCTGTTATGTCACCGCAAACAATTTCATTGCACCTTCCAGTCATAGTATTCGTTCCAATGCACGGTTCTCCTTTGATGTTAGGTTTAGGGGAATTACATCGTCGTCTTCTAATTCCTGTGCCACCGTTGCAACTCGCGCTGCACGCCCATGGGCCCCATTCTGACCAGCCACCGTCGATCGGTGGCCCGTCTATGTCTTCAAATTAATTTTATAATGCGATATGAACAATAGATAAGAAGTACTATTGTACCAGTAAACAATTTCTCTTCTCTAACCTATTGGTAGACAATTTACAGTCCAAGTGATCCAACTGCCAGAGGCAACGCCCACGGAAAAGTAATAGAACAGGAGAGGAGTAACGTGTTTATACAGAAACACGTTTGTTGCGTTGCAGAATACTTTGATGCTATTACCAGACCACCTGAAAAATTTCGTTTGAAGTAGAAACTTGAATGAATTTTATAATGAGATTCTACCTTATCGTGATGTTAGTCCACGAACGGGTTGTAAATAACGAATTTGTTAGCCTCTGTCGGTGGAAAATTGTTACGTTTGGATACGCATTTTTTGTGAACGTTATCCAATGATCTGTTTCGCTCAATGTAAGTGCGTAGAAACTGTTTAGAAAGCACTCAGTTAATTCTACTTCAAGCTTATTCGTTACATAGGATAATTTAGGGTAGGATTCTGAATAGTTTACACGTTAATATTTACCCTGGTGTCCCAGGCAACAAAAACAGTGGTACGGAAACTGCACCGTCACCCCGAACATGAAGTGTTACTTGTTCTACATGCCTCCCTTCTTGATTCCACACTGACAGTGGTAAGATGATTACATAACGATCTGTCCTCGTGGTCTCAACTGGACAACCTACCGAAATGAAAAAGAAAGAATCGTAAAGAATGTATAATTATACTTATACAAGTGATAAGCGTACCTGAATCATAATTGAAAGCAATGCCAACAGTCCGGCCTCTTTCGCTACTATAATAATAATATGTTGGCAAGAAAGCATTCGTTGGGTCCGAATGACTCCATTCAAATACCGGTGTAGGTTCATCCTCGTAATACAGTAAGATTTTTCCTCGAGGTATACTGAGTATAAAGTTGGCCCATTTCCCCAAGTACAGTAAGTGTGGCAAAGTTTTTTTCTTGACCAAAACAACAACTGCAAGTGACTTACAATAAACACTTCACATGTAGAATAAACTTTTATGGACGTCTAGACAATTACCTTCACTTTCCGATTGATAGTAAAGAAGTACTTTCTCGTTATCCAGTGCTCCTATTTTGAGTATATAACGCGATTTAAAGCCATCATCGGCTGAGAAGACGAACGTAATGGAATCTGGTCGATCTGGTTCCCAAGCTTTCAAGGCGAAGCGTAAACCTTCGAATCGATATTCAGGTAAAACGTATAAACGTCTGCCTGTGGCGTCTCCTTTAACGAGTATAGTATACTCTTCTGCAAGGTAAAATCAGTGACTACGAATCTAGTTTACAGAAAGTCGCGCAGCCTACCTGGTTTCTCGCAATCTCTGACATTGCAAAGATCTTGCGGTATAGAAGAGTCCGTGGTATAACACCAAGTGCCAGCAATATTGCGCGATGGATTTCTGCAATAATTCCTAGCACTTCGAGCATTTCCATCTGCGTACAAGGTATCGTTGAAATATTCTCGTATAACGTTTTCAGGTAATCGAAATTTTGAGACGGGGGTAGTCGTGTATTTTGGTGTGCTAGATTTTGTTGGCATATCGGCAGAGAGCAGTGGATACGGATTATACGGTCCTCTTCTTGGCGGTTTCACGCGAGTCGGTCTTCGAGTATGCTTTGTAAATAGAGGCTCATCAGTTGACTCTTCCACTGTTACCAGCGGACCTAATGGCCAATTGTCGCAAGTACGTCCAGAACGTGTTGTGGACAATGTGCCTACATAGTCGTTCGCAGTTCCAGCCATTTTACACTCTAGAAATTCGGTGTGATGTCATATGATGATAAATACTTATAATATTGCAATTGCACTACTGTTAACAGAATTACCTGACGATCTACAGGTCCGTATCGCGCAATACTGTTTGGAAATAGTTCTATTTTTGTCGGATGTAAATGCATAACAATAAACACCATTATCATCGCGCGTAGGGTTTCTGCATTTATTCAACGCTTTCATAGCAGATCCGTCGACGAATTTGTTATCTACTTTTTCCTCATTGGGAACCTTGTTAAAAAACAGAACCATTTTAACATCGAAAGCAAAGAATTGCTTTGAACTTAAAGAATTGACTAATACCTCTTTTGACATCCATGGAACGCAAGGAACTCCGGAAACGCTAATCCATTGCGAGCCCTTATATTCGTAACCCTTCGAATCAGAAATACAATTTGGCACCGTAGGTTCTTCCACAGCATCCCCAGCTGCGATTAGTATATATTACGCTGTTTTATTCGCTAATTAAAATACCGAAAACGCCTAATGTAACGGAATCACCTTCTGGACTACAAAACAGCGTCCACTGCGCTATACTACTTTCACTTCCGATGCTAAACCATCTTAACGTCGCAAAAAAATTGTTGTTTATGTACAGCAGCTCCACGGCTCCTCTGACGCTTTGCGAAAATAAACGAAGGTGCTCCCCGAAGATGCTGCAAAATCGTGTACGAAACCCGCGACAAAATTAAAATCTAATACTTTCGATACGAATTTATCAACCTGATACTGAATTTTTTCCAAGTCCAAAAATCTAGCATTCCCCTTCTAGGAATTTCTTTCAGATATTGCTTAACAGAATCTTCTTTTTCTTGGTACGTTAGAGTTATGATATCGTTGCCAAATGTTACCTATATCCGGGAATTTAGTCTCAAGTATGCGTAAAAAGAAAAAGTCAGCAATGTCTCATTTGACTATCTCATCTAAATTTATAATGTTATAGTCTTTACCGTTATAGATGGATATTCTATCGCGGGCGTTTGATATAGGCGAACATGAATATTTCGCGTTGCGCGAACGTAAAATAACACATCATTTGTACCATTGTTCTGTACCATGGTCCAAATTCTAGAGAAATCCGTTCCGAACGTCGTATGAACCTCGCAGTCTGGAAATAAAGAAAGGTATAACTTATCAAGACTAACAAGCATTTTATCACGCACAATTGATTCGCATAACTAACAACGTACAATTCTGACAGAATCCAGTACTCCACAAAACGCCCGTCCCTCTAAGTCCGTAGTACAAAAACGTTTCTGGATACAAATTCGTGAAGCCGTGCTTCTTTTTATATTCTTGCATAATCAACGGTTTCAGCGAGTCGTCAACACCTGCTGATATGAAGCTACCATCCCATGTTATCCATATCCCTGTCCATTTTGTACCCAATAAGATTTCGGGAGTGTTTTCGATGGTTTCTTCTTCCTAATTTTGAGATCAGGATTGAGATCAGTTCGAAGGTGCCAACTACGTTAAAAATTCTAACATCGTTTGATGGAAACGTCTGGCTACTGCCCGAGTTTCTAAATGCCAACTCGACACCTGCACCCCATTCTTCAGACGTCTTGTCGGTAGAAAACAGTACTGGCAGGACGCTAAGTAAAATTCGCGCCTCCCCCTTTAAATAACGTTAGTCATCATTAAAACCCGAGTAATTTTATCCTTTATAACCAAATATAAATTCACATGGCGAAGGTATGCAAGGAATACCCTTTTCTCGTCGTCAGGATTCCATAATTTAATCCAGAAGGAAGTATTACCAACAGCTGCATTCAATTTTGTTATTATAGAATAGTTGGTCACGTTTTTGGTAAATGCCAGGCAATCTGGAAAATAGGCAATGTTACAGATAGAATTGAATAACATGACAACACTTTTCAAAGTACCTCTGTCGTCGCAGAAAAGTACATCGCAGTATTCCTTCTCCACATACTCTGTGTCTTTCTGTTTGATGTAGCACCAAGGTCCTCCAATATCTCCCGATGGATTTCTGCAGAAGCTGCCAGCCTTCTTGATAGAATCATCGGGGAAATCCTTCCCGTAAAATTTCGAATTCTAAAAGATAAGACTAAAGTAGCGTCAGGTCAAATTTAAAAATGTTACTTTGATTTTTAGAACACGTATTTCATTCACCTCTCTATCTTCAAGTATGTAGTGCTTCTGCCACGATTTACATTTGCTCCCTGAAGCGCTAACGCTTTTGCTACCACCATATTCGGATCCCAGTCCCGACAGTTTACATTCTAGTCGATCGCAAAGAAACTTTTGTGAGCTATACTTGATTAAATTTGACTGCAACTATGTACCTCCGAAATTACAAAGAGATACATCGCATTTGTCATCTATGAGAGAAGCATCCATAGTGTAGCACCAAGGTCCTCCTGCATCTTCTGTTGGATTCCTGCAGTAATTTTTTGCATTTTTCATTGATCTCTCAGGGAAGTCGTGATCGCCTATATAGCTGCTCACCTAATTTCGAATTGTAGAAGGATGGGTTTAGTTGGAGTCACCATACAGTGGTATATGTATGAGATACATTTACTTATGGCTAACTTGACTTAAATCTATGATACAATATCTCCGACTATATACAGAATATATCATAAATCTTGATAGAATCAAAGATTCTTTATATTACCTCATGCATGGGATCTGTCGTATACCATGCTTGACATCGAATATCACTGATAGTCTTTGCTATTGAACCTCTGTACTCTATTCCTTTGTGCGTGAGTTTACATTTCATCAAATCAGTCCGTGATACACTACGTGCTAAAAACAAATATATGTAATTCTTGAATAAAAAGAAAATAGCACAGAAGAGAAAAGTAAAGCGATACATTACAAAGACCTTGTCTTTACCTTTCTGAATTAGGATTAACGATATCAAACAAATTATAATTTGAAACTTAAATGCTGAAGGTGAAGTTATACAGTTTGTTCTATGGAACGTATTTATCAACAGAATATTAATAAACATGTCAAATTATCAAATTTCCTAGTAGTATAGCATGAAATTTTTAAATAATTAATACTTTTTGAAGCTGCTGTTGTGGCATATTAACAATTGAATCAATTGAATGTAGTTGGATGCAGTTGGATGGCTAAATGCATTGTAAATATACAAATATATATATATATATAAAATTTGATAGCCCAGTTTTCATTCTTAGAAAACAGATGGCGCTCAAGTTTAATTCTAATCCCAATAGATAACGTTGACAGAGTAACTGAGATGGTAAGGAACTATTCCTCGAGACGATAACCCTTGTGCGGTAACATGTCCAACACATTTAGGGTGTAAACTTTTTACTAAAATATCTAAAAAAATATTCGTTTCTCGAAAAAATCTATTCGACAACAATTTCATATCTTATCGTGATGTACAACTTTTGTTTAAACTATTTCCTTGAAGGATCGCTTTTTATTTTCCAAACCATTTTTCTTCTTCTCTTTAGGAATTTTTTTCTCATAAACCATAGAAGTTATACTTTGTATGTTATTTAACGAAAAATGCTTCATTTTTATCGAGGAAGTGAAAAATAATTTTATAGACAATTTTAACAAAATCGAAAAACTGCTTCAAATCTGTCTATTAGCTCTTCTTTACTATCTACTGTGTAAAATCTAATTAAATACTCAGGATCATGCTTGGGGACTTCATGTTAGCTAGTCTTATTACTATTTAAATTGCATAAAATAATAATAATAATAATAATAATCCTTACAACAAATATGAAACAAAAGGTAAAGTTAAAGCTTAGGAAATTACGCGAGTCGATTATGTGTACGTTTGCAGTGGCATAATTAGCCGCACTCTGGTCATTGTGGTTTCTCGAGACAACGGATTCGAACTTTTAATTGTCTTCGAAGTCTCTACGAAATTAATAAACCACGGTCGAAGCTGCTCGACCCAGTTTATCAGGTACCTTGGCCATCCATTAAATTGATTGCCATTAAATTTGAAACCACGGATTCCGAATTACATCGGAACGAACGCCGGTGCGAAACCGCGATCTGTTATTTCTCGTCGTGTTCATTCAATGAGATTTTCACCGTGCCAAACAAAACCATAAACTAATATGTGCCTCGTGTCATATCTAGAGATAAACAGGAAAAGCGATTGAATGAAAGTTACGATATAAACCGTAAGGATTTATTTGGACTATCTTTATCGATTTTAAGAATGTTGTAATAATTTATTAATTATTATCTAAAGACGTGTTACTGATACATACGTTACAATTTACAATTGATACACAAGTTGTCAAGTCGCGGCGTGGCGTAGGACTCCACATGGGGTGACGCAGGGTGACGTACACCTCCCTACGCCCAAAGAATATCCAGCAAGTAGTCCCAGTATTCCGCGCGCCATTCCTACGCCCAAAGAACTCGCGACAAGTAGTCCCAAGTGTACGAAACTGTACGAAGCCGTATTGCTTGCGAATTATTGCGTTATTTTACAAAGTAATTGAGTATAATTCTTTCTTTCTATTGATACATGATCATTGCAATATGTATCGATACATGGTAATATGACGTCACGCTGGAGTTTACGAGTGACGACGGGGCAACACACTCCCACTCCGCCCAAAGAAAGCGTGCCAACTATACAATAATAGTCCCAATGTTGCTCCTGTGATGGCATCAGTACAGGCCTAAGTAAACGAAGCGAATTATTGAATATTTTACGAGGTAATTGAATATAATCCTTTCTTTCTATTCGCTCGATCTTGCAATATGCATTCATATATGGTCTCGACGCGCATGCGCGAGTTGGAAGCAACACATTGGCATCACTGTGATTCTGCTCCCACTCGCGTATGCGCGTCGAAAAATGAATTCGGAGTAATACAGCTACATATAGGAAACGATGCCTGGTCAGTTTTTCAATTTTTCTTTATTATGCGTGGTCCCAATTTATTATACTTGTATTTTTCTTTGAGGCGACTAAGAAGGGTGTCAGTTTTATGGTCGTATTAGATATTTTCTTGACGCTGAAACCAGTGCGCATGCGCGACTAGAAACGAATCTGGCGTCACTGGTCCCAAGCGGTCCCAAGAGTGCAAACACGTGTTGCTCGTGAATTATCGTATGATTTTACAAGGTAATCAAGCACATTTCTTTCTTTCTCCTATGTTTTTTCCTTCGATAACGATCGTTCTATTCGCGAAGCGTGTAATTATAGCATGATATCGATTTTATCTCGATTTATCGCGATTTTGTTTGGAATATCTAACGTTGGGTTTTCGTTTGCAGGGTAAGGAAGAACTAGGACGACGAGTGGGCGGATTTATCAAAGGATTTGCTTCCTTCGCGTTACGCAAGGAGACTTTGGGAGAGAATGGAGGCACAGTCACGCGGTAAGAAGGCTCCATTCGGTTTTCACGGGTAGAAAAGAATTGTTCGCCGTGGTCACGCGGCAATGGCGTTGGCGATCACGTGTTTAGAAGGACCGCGTGATCTCCATGCATCGACTTACGTAAACACTTCTAACAACGGGATATTGTGTTTGGGAATCAATGGAATATCGCTCGATCGACACTGGACCGTCCTATTATTCGAAGTAATTAACAGTACACGGGAACGTTGCGTAATTCGTTTAATTAATACACTCCGCTGTGTCTTCCACCCTTCCATTTGCGTAAGCGGAATTACAAGGGTGAATTGCTCGCGAGAAGGCGTTTTTAAATTCAAGGATTTAATTAGCCCCGTTATGGGAGCCTCTGTTAGGTCTCCCAATGCTCCCAAGTAGGTGAAATGAGAATAGTTCTGTTTAGAGGAATATAAGTAATATTTTCGAGCTGTGGTTTTGATAATAAAGTGTGCTAAAGAGTAGAAAATTATTTTTGTTCTAATATAGAACTCTTAGGTTAAATATAAAAGCATTGCAACTTTCTTCTTGACCCTTTCGACCCTGTTTTCTATTCGAATTCTGTTAGTTTCTCTTTCAGAAATTCACCAGATATATTCAAGGAAATGTACGTATCCTACTAAAGTCGAAAGTATTAAAATATATAATATATTAGTTATTAGTAAGCGGATTTTTAAATAGTTGAGTGCCATGCTTTTATTTTTAATGGCCTCTGGCTAAAAATGTCCTGCTATTGGACAAAAATTATTTCCCACAATAAAAGCATATCTTGGAAAGTTTCCTCACGCATTGTTATTTATTATTCATTTATAGATTTCCACAAATTGGAGATTGCAATAATTGTTGTGTCAGCCTGGTTGGATGAAACTTGTGATATATGTATAAACAGAGGTAGGTAAAGCAGAATAAATACTTACACTGACTTTATATAATAAAGAACAATACCAAAGTATCTCTTACGGAATTTTCAGATGTTACATAATGGGTGAAATTCGCGTTACAAGAAGAATTGTGAAAGAATACAAAGAAAGAAAGGATTCATCAATTTTCCAAAGAAAATGTTCTTTCACCTTAACCGTTCTATCACCTTGGACGGTTATCCTATAATCGGTTGGACGATGATCGACGGCGGCACGAGCAGCCCTCTCGAAATGGAGGGGGAAGGGTTGCTACCCGTTGCGCGACTGGAGGCGATTCTGACCAGTTGCCGCGTGTACTCCGAACCGTTCGCGTCGTTGTTTATGGGGTGTTCGAACTTGATCGACCCGTGATCGACCCCGCGACGTCCGGCAGGTAACAGGCAGTCGGCTGGAAGACACCTGAGGAATTGTTGTTACCTATCGGCTACCGTGAGTTATTTCTTACGAACTACTTCTTACCTTAACTTAATTACTTTTATTTTACTTATGATGAATCTCAGCATTCTTCTTGTAACTTTTTCTTTTATTTACTGGAAAACAATTCTAATCTTCGTGCAAAATAAAATCTTTGCAAACGTCCTTTAAAAAATTGAACTTAATTAGGTATTTATTAATTAAATTATTAATGTGCAAGAATCTAAAAAAATATTGAAAGTAAACTTCGTGTTCAAAGTTCAATATTTCTATGTACGATTACAATGATTTTATTATGCATAAAGATCCGCAATCCCGTTATAACTAATTTATACTAATCATAGGATATATTATATAATAATATACATAATATATATGGTCGAACGTTGATTAATAGCTTGATTCGAGAAACACAAAAATGTACACATGTATGTATGTAATACTACTATTATTAAGTGTTTCTCTTTTACTTTTTAACGGTCTTGTCGACGCCATTCGACTTCACGAAATTTCACTTCGAAACTAAGAAAGAAACCGTCGAATTCTAAAATTGAAAAAGTTACAGAAAAAAAAATTGAAGAAATACATCCGTATCTTTTTCAAAAGCGCTTACTACTTGCTCGAATGGTGGCCCCAGAACGCCACGTAGAAAATACAGCGTACCGCGCGATATGACAAAGAAACTTCCGAGAAGTTAATCAAGGTGTGCCTGTGCGGACCACTCTCTAGAATAATTAAGTATTGTACCGACACCCTGTACACGCATTCGCTCGACAAGTTTGAAACCATCGGTGCGTGAATCGTCGCTGATGCCTCTCCACGATTTGCAATTATCCGCGACATCCTCGTTCTTCACCCCTTCTCATTGATCCTCCACCACGAATGCTGCTTTCCGACCAAAATATTCCGCTCAGCCGACCACGAAATGTAATTAATTTTTCGCCAATTCTCAAATGATGCTTTCGAGGGAGGGTCAGAGGGTACTGGGCTCAGGAATGGGGGGGGCTAGAAGGTACCAAGCTTTAGTTACACGGGATTAGATTAGTCTAGCCCTCTACATCTATACTTAGTAGTCTCCAACCCTTCTATAACCAAGCCCAGAAGTCTCTAACCCCCTGTAACCGAACTGAGAAGCTTCTAGCCCTCTGTAGCTTAACATAGTACCATCTAACTCTATGTATCCAAGCCTAGTAGTCCCTAGTCCCCCTTATAGCCTAGCTTAAAAGTCTCTAAGTCTATAGTCGAACTCAGAACCTGCAAGACTTACGCATGCATCTAATCCAACAAATTTTTATTTTCTAAAAATAGATTGTCTGGCGAGAATGATACTCGACTTGAGAACGACTCCTCCAGCCGATGATCCCGTCCAAGGACCCGAATCCCGCGGGTTTCGATTGTCGAGCGTGTTCATTCAGGTCAAGGCTCCGACGCGAACGTGCATTTGTAACACAGACCCTCGTTAACAATGGACACGGAATAGTGCGCTAATTAGCCCGGCGGATATTTGGGAAAGGTGGAATGTACAGGGTGTTTCGGTAGAAATAATTGCGCGCTTTCATTTTTGACTGTTTGTGACTCTACAGTATTTCATCGTCGGTTTGTTGTTGTATGTTAAATTAGTAATTTTAAATGACCAACCTTGGAGGTCATCGACCTGGTCTCCATTAAAATAGATCTACACCTGCAAACAAGTAACAAGTAAATATATCTAATTAGAGATGTAAATTGTTGAATACAGAGGCACAGAGTTAATTTGCACATGATGGGAGAGCCTGGTGTCAATTGAAACAGGGTTAAATGACTAAAAATCACTCGAGATCTTCTTATTTTGATGTACCAACTATTATTGCGGTATTAACAGTATTTATCAAAGTGAAATAATTCACCCGAAACGCTTGTACCTCGCTCGTACCGAATTGTGTTGGTAAATAATTTCCAAGCTCGTGTTTGAACGTTCAGATACACTCGTTCGTTTCGTCGCGGAAATACGACGTCGTCTCCGCGATCGCGCGAAATGTTTTATGACTCGCGAGTCTGCGTGTTTACGTAGTCGCGTTACCAAGCGTGTTGTCCCTAGGCGGTGCATAATTGAATCGCGGTTTGTTTGTCACGATTGGCTCGCCGCAGCGAGAATCGCAATTTTGACGAACACAAATGTTTGTATTTACCGTATCGCGAATGAAAACTGCGGAAAACAATGAGACGCGTTTCCTCTTCCATCCGACCGGTCATTTTACACTTCTGCTTGTATTCTGAAAAGTAGGAGAAAAATTGCCAAATGTAATTTCAAATGTACCAAAAATATTTTAGAAGTTATAGAAGCATTGCTTAAATTTGCCTTTGGGATACTATGCTTGGAGTCCAAGTATCGAGTTTCTTCATATATTTTCTTATAGGGAAGAATTTATGCAATGTTTCTGTAACTTTGCGGATGTTTTAGGTATGTTTCAAAGTACCTTTGGTAATTATTTCAATTCATTTCGCATAGGAAGGAAAGCATTGTAAAGTAAAAGAAAAGTAATTATCGTCATGAATTGAAATACATTGAGGCTTTGAAATGTGAAATTAAAAAAATTAAACAGACCTCCAGTTTTGTTACGAATAATATTTCTGTAATAAGGCCACTGTTCAATGCAACAGAGGAATTGTTATAAAATTCTATCGACTCGAGAGAAGCTAGTTTAACAGGTACATTAATATTGGAGAGGAATGAATTTCGCGGAATTATTATTATTCCAAAAGATGTTCCGATGGTTGGATTGTAACGACGATTTCTAATGACTTGTAAACAGTAATATTTTTACAATTAATTTTTCCGAGACAATTGTCCTGTTAAAAATAGAATTATATTTGTTTCCTAGCGCGCCAACTTTTCTCAAAATACATTTCTATATGAAACTGCGATCGTTTGGCAGAAAAGCTCACAGAAACGCTTGCGAAGCTTTTGTATAATATTTTTAACATGGTATGCAGTAATTGTCGCGCAGAATCTGTTATGAGAGTTCGTATCATGTTCGTATCATGTTCGTATCATGATCTCTCGATCTCGGAATTTTTACGGAAGCCCCCTTGCGAACGACGTAATTCACTATTAAAATATTCAAAGTACATTGTACGAAGAGTTTTTCGGCCGACTGTAATTCTGGGTTCACGTAAAACGGGGACAAGCCTTTAAGCATTCCGAGTGGCCTTTGGGCGGCTTTAACCCGACGGATACGCGCCTGAGAACTTTTAACGAGTTACCCTCGAAGGTACGGGTTTACTCTGCACAGATTCCCTCTGAAAGGGATTAAGACGACGGTTGACGTCTACGACATTCGTCGAATGAAAATTTCCCCTGTTCGTCCGCGAGACGCAATTATACAAATCGGTAAGAACAAAAAATAACTCACAGTTGTATATTTGTAGGAGAATTTAACGTAATTACGTGGGATGCTTGCATGTTTTACTAGAGTTCAAGAGTTAAAGTGGATCCGTGGAATGGTGGACAGCACGAAAACCAATCGGAGTGATTGCCATGCAACAGAAGTAAAAGAGCTAATCGAAGCCAACGGAGAAGAAAAAGAAGAAGAAGAAGAAGAAGAAGAAGAAGAAGAAGGACAAGTAGAAGCCAGCAGAAGACAATAAATAGACCAATAAAATTACATAATGTCAGGAAACAAGGGATAGTTAGGTCTTTAAGGGGTTCTGAAATGACTAGTGCGGAAATGGGAATAAATAATTGAACCGATGACTATAAATCTAGGAGAACTATAAATTAACTTTTGGAAAAAAAATGTAACCGACTTCGAAAAACATTAAAACTGCACTAAAAGGTATGAGATAATTTCTATTCAAACTGCGTTATTACTCGCCAGCTAGAAGACATACTCTGCAAGATGCAAGTGGTTGCACTCCGATTGGTCAAGCCATGTCGGTGTTATGGACGAACATCCAAATAAAAATAAAAGTATACATGGCGAATTGAGAAACCTCCTGCTTTTCGAAATCGGTTACATAGCCCTGATATTGTAATATACGAAAAAAGGCCTGTCCTTGTCCGTCTGGACCAACGACGAATGCAATCGATCGTCCTATTTCACCGCGAAACTTTGGCACGAAACGCAACCGAAACCGTCCGCGGATCGAGCTATCCTTTCAGGAATTTCGGTGGGAATGCTCGCATTAATCAAGGAAAGTTTTCTCTGCTTCGAAACGAGCGCAGATTTCTTTCCTTTTACGCTGATGGGACAGTTCGTTCGATTGCACCCCACCGTCCTTGATTGGAGCTTATAATATCTCGTTAAACGATTCGTACGTCTTTGATAGACTAGATCCTTGTGGTAAACACTTGGTGTAGGATGTTACGATAGCTCAGGGCATTGGGAAAGACGATTTGTTAAAATATCTCGTGAATTAATAGTTTGTTTAGCACTTTACTTTACTTTAAGGATGTTTGGGAGATGTGTTAAAATAGTCAGCTGTTCACAAGTGATAAGTTCGAAACTTGCCATTAAAAATAAGCTTACAACTATAATTTTTTTGTTCGTTTAAATGTCGTAATTACAAAGATGTTCGATTAATTCGAATTTCATGTACGTTTGTCTCTGACTGCACCTCCTATACATCCTTAGATTAAAACAGTAGCGCACACGTACCATTGCACTTACAAAAAGCATATATTTTCTATATTTTCGCGATAGCAATTCCATTGGATAAATGCACTCGTGTTGTCACACAAAGGGAGAACGATTTCTCTATATCCATTATTCTCGAGTACCCGTGTCATTATTCTCGTTACTATACGTGTCTCATCGAGACTAGAACAATAAGGCTCATCCAGAATGAAAAGAATCGTAAATATAATGCTTGGAAGAATGGGAATGAAGATTGAGAACATTGAGGAACCTCTCCAAGTAAACTGTGGGATGCAGCCCATATCTATATAAATACACATAATATGTGTTGAATATATTCTACAATTGATACGATAATATTATTATTTCGCTTTACGCAAGTGCACATTTTGGTACTATTTACCATGCATTCATTATATTTGTTACCATATATCATAAATGCAATGTACAATATACTTTATATGTATACTTAGTTTCCAGTAATGATCGTAGCTCAGCGTTAGCGTATCGTGCTCGCACGCCGTAGGCCAGGGTTCGATTCCTCGCGTGGGTGGTTGGTTTTTTATCACGACCATTATTAACGTAATTAATCAACATCGATCATAGAAGATCCCCGAGGTGTCCTTTCTCTCGTACTCTTTAAAAAACCATTACCTAATTGCACGAAAAGCATTCTCTCGCGTCTCGTTTAAAATTGCGAACGACGCTATATTGACTGGCTCTCTCGATCTAAAGAAATTAGGAGCGAGTTTAATCTCGTTTAAATTCTAAATCCTTTCCCCCCTCCCCTCTCAATTTCGAGCAACAACGCCGTAGAATCGTGTTTTCCCAGAGCCCGATTCAGCCTTCCAAATTCCCCAGGGATTTCGACGGACCGTTTTCTACGGTGCAATTACGCGAGGTCTGGTAAAAAAAAAAAAGTACTGGCAGAGAGGGGGGGAAAAACGGAGGGGAGTACCAGCGAGAAAGCCGAAATCCGTGACCGACAAGCAGCAGCCTCGAGGGGGGAAAGCCGGGAAAAAAAGAAAATATCGCCGGGGCTTTCTGGATCGTTGCCAGAAAGTATGGTTGCACCTCCGCGCATTTCTGCCTCGTTTCTTGTTGCCTGAATAGAGTTTGATTCGCGATTCCGACGAGATCGCGTTCACCCGTTTGCCCCCTCGAGAATTTCATTCAATTTCCAAGCCTTCCAGCAAAAATTGAATCGATCAAAAATTCACGCAGCAGTTTCTTGTACCAAATATAATTTAGTTGCAGGTGAAGCAAAGGTACGGAGTAGACTCGACAAATACTTGGTTCACAATTATTCAAGGGAAGAAAGAAAACAACGTTCTACCATGATATGCTTTCAAATGTCACGCTCTCTTACGCGAGCGAAGAGAATGCTCGCGAATAAGTTCTCGCTGACCCGCGGAAAACAAGTTTCCAAGCCCATTGGGACTTTGTATATGGCTGTCTGCAACTGTATCAGGCAGGGAAAGTTTGCTCATAAAAATTTCGATTCCTGCGAGGTCTCGGTTGGCCCCGGAACGAAACAAACACAATATTTTCGTGCACAGGCGAATGTAAAGACTCTGGAAATTCGTTTTAACGTTAAATAAGAAACAAGAAAGTAATGTTTATTTTTCTGTTACAGGTGGAAGTTGTTCCCGGATAAGGAAGACTACGTGGAAGAGGAACTTGACGACAGAAGAAGAAGAATACAATATATAAAGATGAGGAGAACTACGTAGAAGAGGAACTTGACGACAGAAGAAGAAGAATACAATATATAAAGATGAGGAGAACTACGTAGAAGAGGAACTTGACGACAGAAGAAGAAGAATACAATACAAAGATGAGGAGAACTACGTAGAGGAGGAACTATACGATACAAGAAACCAATTCGATTCCCACGCACTCTACCGGCAGTCCGTTGATAAATAACGCATGGTAAAACTACCTATCAATATATTCACGACAATGAACAGGATTCTGCACCGATCACCCGTGAAATAATATTGTACCCGTTTGAATGACAGAGGAGCCCTTCGATGGCCAGCGAGAGAGCACCGACTAACGACGTGGAGAGCAACGTTGACGTTCGTCTGGCCATGGCGACAGTGGTCGAAGTGACCCGGAATAAAATTTCAAAGGGCTCCGAAGAGTTGCAAGAGAGCAGCGAGTCGAAAGGGGTTCCTTTTGCTCTGTTTCATTGGTAGGAGGACGAGATAAAAAGATCAACAGCCGTTGGCAAAGGGCAAGGGTTGAGGGTGGGAAGTACGATTGGAAAGACAAACTACGACTGTTTCCTTTTGTAGAAGCTGGCCAGAGGCGAGAAAAGGCCGAGAGATGAGGCAGGAGCGCGGAGAAGGCTGGGTCGCGTTTGTTGGGAGGTCCGAGACGCGAAGGGAAATTGATTCGACGCGTTGGACGACAGGAATTTTCACCGAGGGATTAGAAAATTAATTTTGGAGACCAGACGTTGAAGAGCGCAAGTCTGGATAGGATTCGCGAAGCTGATATCACTGTTGGATCGTATAGCTTGCAATTGTATAAGAAAATCTTAGCTTGAGAAGTATCGTCGCGAGAATGTCTGGCACCGAGAGTGTTGGAGGACGGATATCATGGGGAACAGGGGCGTAGAGTCGGGATGCAGTCAAAGGGACACGAAGATGGACATTTAGAGGAAACATGGACGCGCCTAATGCCATTGGCAACAACACTCGGGACTTCTGCAGCGCGAGATACAAGAATTTTGCTCCACCAGAGGATGGTGAGTCGCTCCTCTCTGTGGAACATTTTCGAATGTTATTTCTGGTCGCTGTGACTAGCTGGGGAATCGAACGCTTGAAAAATGGAGAGGCGCTCGAGAAATAGGAAGTGATAATCGAAGGAAGTAACACAGCTGTGCTAATTGGATCGCATCGTAGGTTCAGTTAATTGCATTGTATTTGCAACGGGAAGCAGTTGAATTGCGTCAGTCATGCTCTTCGATTGATTCAGTTTAGATAAGAAATTACAAATTACCTAAGTAATGCTCATCGATTACTTTAGTTACGTCGCAATCGAATTAATCAATTATTGATCACTACAATCACGAGTCTAATTTACTTACAAACGATTGAAATGCAGCGTAACTGAAACACAGATCTCCATAATGAACCAATGAATACTAACGTATCTACCCATAGATCTAGTTTGATAAGAAACAGCCAAGCTCGAAGTTTTGTCACTCGATATAAAACTTTCACTGTTACAGCTCGTCTCTCACGAGTTTTTTTTAAATATATATAATGACAAATAGAAAACGGAGAATCGATCACAAAAATTGAATACAGCATTGAATTATTTTTGATGGTAAACAAGAACGATCGCGAAGAAGCGTTGCTTCCAAATGCATGGAAAACAAGACAACAATCTTACCTCGGGTATGAATCTATGGGGACAGGTCTCGGATTCGGAGCTAAAATCGTGTTTCGCAGTTTCTGGCGAACCCGTCGAGAATACGGGGATAAGACGCACTACTCGCGACTCGATTTGCAGTCTTTGCGAAGAAGATTGAATAAAATCCGAAGGAAACAATCCTCCTAGGGAAATGGGGATTGCTTGATGGAGAGCTACGTTGACATATCGTGTGTACACAAAGTAGGACGTACAAGTAGGAAATATCGGTTTCTTCTGGTGTCTGGACATTTTACATTTAACATAGAAACTATTTATTTTAATACGAAACGAAATTTACTAGAGAAATACTATCGCATCCCCTTAAACTCTCACGCTTAATTAGCGTTAATAGTATAGTCTGATACCAACAGTAATAACTTGAGAACTATTTACATATCTTCGCACTGAAATTTCGTATAAAAATGTTAAATACATTAATAATTTAATACTCCACCGGGAGAGATGAATTCTCAAGCCCGGAGAGGCTCGGTACCTACTTAAAAAGAGTCCTCGCATAGTCGAGCGCAGAAGGAATTCGCGTTGCGTCCAGTCTCGAGTTTCCCGACGAATTGAAATTGCACGGAACCGCATCGACAGTAATAAGCCTCACGTTTCCTCTTTCCTTTTTGCAGAGCTGTGGTGCGAGCCAGCGTGGGACTCGCTGCTCTGCTGGCCGCCGACCAAAGCCTCCACTACAATCAAGCAGAGATGCCCTTTCGAGGACGGATTCGACACCACCAGTAAGTCGATCTACGCCGATTGATGAATGCACATTTAAATTGCTTGTTACCCAGTCTAGGCGACTGTCGATGGATAATTGGAATCCTGGTTTATTTACCGAGGATATATCGTCAAGGGTTGGCCAGATATCGTGTTCTTGTTTGGGAGTCGTCGGAAGATTATCACTAGGATCGTTAATCGAATCGCTCGAATCGACGCTATTTTATTCTTTATTATATTTCATCGAATATTGTACTAGGATCGTTAGTGTCAAGCCTGAAATTCTTTGTTCATAGAAACGCTAACGTTCCTTGATACTATCTGTAGACTATGAAATATTTATGGGCATTCGTATTACCATAGACAATGAAATGACGAATTGAGAGTAACTATCATATATTGTTGTTCCAGAGTTTATGTAACGGTTATGCCGTGTCGAGAAAAATCACTCAACGAAGGGTACACAACGAAGCTTGATAGGAGCCAATCGTTTACACAACCGAGCTTGATAAATGATTCGTTAACACATGGAATCCAGGCTCGTTAGCCGCGGGAGATATCCTGCTATAATTATTAGGTCTGCTAATGAGGCGTGAGAAATGTTAAAGGTCGCCATTGGCATTCATCAAGGCATTCCTCTGCTACGCCCGCGCCTCTGATAAGTTCTCGATGATTATAGGCGTTGCTAACGCAGCCATTGGAAGCTTTTATTCTTGTTTAGTCGAGAGAACCGTGTCGTTCGTCGATTCCTCGGCTATCTTTGAGAGGAAAGGTTACAGGGAATACCTCGAGCCTGGAAAGTCGCGGAACTGTGCAAGATGTAGTTATTAATTTGATTAAACTGGGTAAAAGTGTCGTTAAAAGAAAGCGCCCACTTCTGGCTCATCAAACACGCCTCTTTAATTCTAGACGGAGCTTGTCGAGCGGTCGTGCATAAGTAGCTGGTCGAAACGTTTCCGCGCAGACGAGGAAAACAACAAAATACTCGAGCATTTCTTCCGCCGACTATTGTTACGAGGAAAGAGGTTGAAAGTCGCGAGGTTTCGTTTCGATTCCTTAACCGCGCAAATATGAAGATACAGGAACCGCAAAAATGGCTTCCCTTTGAGCCACCGCTACGAATCTACTCTCGAAATCATTTTTCTATCGGATGGAAATGCGACGACGTTTCGAAGGGAAACCTCCACGTTTATTTCTGCGACTTGTAATTCCTTCTGTAAACCGTTTCTTCGGTTCGGCCGGGTTGAAAAGCGGCCGTATCGAATTTCCCCGTCCATTGAAATGCCAGCGTAGCACGAGGGAACGCGGTCCGACTTCGTACGTCACTTTTAACCGAATGAGAATAAATTTTTTAAAATAATACAATCGGTCTCCGCGCGACTGTCCGCTTATCAATCATGTTCGTTCAACTTTTCACAGCGACGATTCGTTTTACATTTGTTAACATCACGGCATTTATGCGCCGGGGTGGTCCGTATTTCGCGAAAATATTTTTATTAGAAAAGTAGCTTCGTATGTGATGTGCTCCGTATGTGATGTGCTTCGTGCTGACTGGGCTGACATACGAGGCAATAGTTGAGATAAAAATTCGAAATTAACAGGGCTTCTTCCTATTGTTATTAGGGAGAACTCTGCCAAATTTCAGACCTTTCCATGAATGTTTACGGGAGTTGTACAATCGAACGTAACCGATGGAAAGAATCCCACGTATTTTCCAATGAAAGTTTCCAACTTTACCTGTTAGCCAAAACTAGCTCCGAAAAGCAGTAATGCTTTGCAGTAATTATATTTCAAGAATAGTGCAGGAATAGCGTTCAAGAAATCGTTAAAATAAGCACCAGCGTAACGCACATTCTCATGTATTTCTAAACACTATCACTCACCATAAATGCATAAACATCCAGTTATGATCGATTCAGGACGACTGGAGATTTCGCGTAGAATTTTCATCGAAACTTCTTGAGGGGAAGTTCGTGGGAATTCCGTCTTTTGTCATGCAAAGCGAGCCTCTCATGGAGGAACATTCCTCCCCGTTAATAAATCATGGAATCGTTCGGCGAAGTTGTTCGGGCGCAACGGCAATTTTTAACGAGATTCGAAGTCGTGGCTTCGTAGCCTGTAAATACTCGCGCTGTTCCAAAAATACGTTCATCGCGAGAATGTTTCCTTTAACGTCGGACAAATAACCATGAAGATGCATTAGCAACGAGTTTCTCGCCTGTTGAGTTCGCTACGCTAATACGATTCCGTTACGCCCGGAGGGGAAGCTGGAAAGAAAATTTGCATATCACGGATTAACGTAGAGCCAGATGTGGCCGTCGTCGGTGGTGTATTGGATTCAGCCTCGTTTCCCTCGCTGTCGCGACCTGGATGCAAATTTCGCGCAGCGCGAACCAGGGAAGAAGGGGGATTTTAGAAACGTTTGATTACGAATTTACGCGGTTATTTATGTACGTCCGAATAACCAGACAGTAAATAGTTTGAGACTATTTCGTTATTTCGTTTCGTGTCGCGGTCTCTGCTTGGGAGTAGTTGAGAGGTTTTATGTAGTTCAGTGGTTTAGAGGAGGTAGTTTCTTTTCCCTGAGAGGGCAGGAAATAGTTTTCAATTGATCACTACAGGTGGTCGACAGAGCGAAGTACAATGCCCACTGAAATTACAAGAATCAAAACAGTTTGGTGTTTGTAGGGGGTAGTTTCTTTCTTCAAGAAATAGATTTTCTTCGCTGCCAGGCACCAAGGATGCTAAGACGCACAGTGATGGTCAGAGCGAGGTATGTACAACGTTCACTGCAATCAAAAGAAGCACAACAGTCGCGAGACTGTCAAGAATCAGAAAAATCATGAAAATTTTTGTTTTCCAGCAGTCCACTATCCTGCACGAAAGAAGCATTACCGTCCAGTTTGCATCCAGCTTTTGCCCCAGGATGTTAATAGCATCCGTCAAGACACGCTAGAAATGGGAACGAGTCCCGAAAGACACGAGCTCGACTCGGGTCGGGGATTTCGAGTCGCTCCACTTTAATGTTTTCGAGGCCCGACACATCGATTCGCAACCGGGATTCGCATGCACATGCAGCTTACTTGAACTTGCCCTCCGGCCTTCGGGGGATGCACTTCCGTTTCCACGACGACAATAACTGCTACCAGAGAGACAGAGCGAATGAGAACCCGCGATTCGGCAATGCTGGGGGGATAGGGTTGCGTCGGTGTTGGCGCATCACTCGACCCACTTCTCCGCATTTTGATTGCACTCGATGACGCCCCGACATGTTACCCAGTGCTAACAGCGCGGTAAAACTCCCTGGCTCTCTCGAGCCGTCTTTTTTCCCTCTTCAGTCTCGCGGTACACGTTCCACGTTCTGAATCGCTGGCTGGAAATTAGCGAGAGATTTCCTAAGACGCATTCATTCCGTCGAGTGCCTCTGGACATGCTCTCGTGGCTGTCCAAGTCGTCTTTGAACTGATAATAGGGACCCTATTCTATTTGTAGCACTTTTGTGTTTCACCTCTTCAAAGCTTCGCGGTTCATTTCCACGAGATTTCCCGAGACGTTTGCCTGTTTATCTCTCAGAATGCTTCTTTCGACATTCTTGAGTCCGTCGAGTCGAGGTCCCACTGGACCATTCCCATACTCGACCAGTCGTGTCCTTTTCTTATTTGACTCCACGTTAACTTGAACGCTGCATTTAATTGTAGGGTTATCTTAAAGTTGTCGCTATTTCGGAGTTGTTAGTCGCTGTTCTTGTTTCTGTTTCCCTGAAATCGAACTGCAGCCACGTTCGATTAAAGCGAGACGCGAACAGCCGATCTATGGCGCTTGAGAAAGTTTGACGTCTTCCAATATCTCTCCCCAAGGATGTTCTCCAAGTTTGTACCTCTTTCTTTTTTACGAGAAAGTTTCGATCACTGGGAGGGGAAATTTTCTCCTGCTGTGTGCTCTATGGTAAAATACTCGAATGATACTATCAATTATCACTCACTATCAATTAGAATAATCTGAATATTTCTGTTAGTCATATTTTTCGACGTATATGTACTTAAGTTTAATAATATTGTTTATTATCGTAACATTAGTATCATACAAAATTTATTTTGTCTATTAGAATCATTTTATAAGTTACATTTATATAATATTTCAGAATTCGCATAATAGCATACATTGAAGAGCATAGAATTGTACTATCTCAGTAATAAGTAAGAAAGTATTGCTTTCCACGAAGAAGAGACGATTAATAAGCTACCGGTCGGTAAAGAGTCAAGTTTGAACAATTTCGTTGAACTTTTTAGTTTACTTTTAACGAGGGGTTTTACTTTTACTCGAAACGTTTAATAAAGATACTTAAATGCTCGCCAGGCTGTACCATTATCCTGAAGTTGAATCTACTTCCTACCAGCAATTATTTTCGAAATCGCAGTTAATTGCAGAGGGTTGGAGCAATTAGAATTTCGAGGTAAGGGCAAAAATATCGTGCCCAGATTCTCTTGGAAGGTATTGCACAGTTTAATATACATTTATATTATATTGTACAATATAATACAAACATAGTAATGTTGCATATAGTTTCTATAGATCCATCCAAGGTCCATTCCATCCATTCCAAGGTTTTAAGAACAGGTTCCATACCATAAGGAGCCGAAATAAGAACATGACCGATACTGTGCAGCGACGGTCCAGTGGGAAGTGCGCTTGACTCATAATCCAGAGGACTCAGGCTCGATTCCTCGCAGCTTGGAAAAAGAATTATCCAACATAGAGAGTCCCTTGGCCCTTTCGGTTCGAATAGTGGAGACTTGTAGCACGTTTCAGTACCAAGTAAACATTGTTCTCATTCTCATAGGTTTAGCCTTTCTCAAGATAAGGTGCAGACTTGATGGAAACTTGGTACGCTTTCTCATCATCGAATGACGTTTCTGGACTTGAATTTGGACTTGTCTCAACCCCACACCTCTCAAACTTTCTTCTGGCTTCTGATTTACAACATTCCATGAGTAGAATAACGTCGAGCAATTACGATTAGCCACTCGCAGAATCAGATCAATAGCTCGGTTCTTCATCCGTCCTTGGCTCCCCCGAATACCTTAAAGGTGCAGGTTTCAGACGAAGACAGGAGAACGGACTGCATTGCCGCGTGCTTGGAATTCTCGAGCTTTAATGGAACCCATAAGTCGCGCCTAACGTATGAAAAACCTGGCTCTATATTCGCGCTTCGCCAGGAATAATAACGCAGCCAATTTGTAAAACAAGTTATCCAATATTCATGCGCATTCCTCGCACTCGTTTCGAGATGTGACGACCTCCCCGGAATAAGTATGAAAAATCGTAGGACGCTTAACGATAAGCCATCCTGTTCGATAAAGCACCACGAAAAGATTTATCAGGAGTTCGTGAATATTTTTCGCATTTTGAAGTTGGTCGAATCATTAAAAAGTTACTATTTTCCAAATTCTATTCTTTTTTAATATCGAAGATGGTCAAATTTCAAGTGACACTTGGAGAAAATGGTACACTCTACAGTGATTTTTAATTTAATCGTGAATTGAAATTAGAAATTAATTCTCTCCATTTTATTTAACTCGTCTAAGGATCTTTTGAGGAGAATAAAAGGATTCCAATTTTCTGGATGACTCTTCTATCATTTTTATTATCTGAAATGACCAGATTGGCCCGTTAAGAAAGCCTTTAAGCAACAAGCTGGATAAATAGGCTCCTCTTTGAGACTTCTTCCGTGGTGTATTCATGGTCGTCCTTTATTCGGATTTTTTGATAACGTGGAGATGAAAATTCTTTTCGAAACACCGCGAGTCCCATTGTTAGTTGGAAGCCTCGCAGCTTCCGGCGAGTACCATCGGCTCGTTATTACTTTGAAACTATCAAAGTGGATTTTCAAGGAAATTTAAAACAGGTCTAGCTTGTATTAAACGTGTGGTCCTTTTTTTTTTTTAAATTGGAAACGAACGTCGCGAACTTGTAGTTTCCAACTACTTTCATATCAGCTTCAACGTCAAAGCTGCCACAATTTATTCAATTATTAAATGAGCATAGGTGAAACACATTTAACGTTGAAGACATGAATTTCTTTTAATTATTATTATTGGTCTGTGGGTTCTATTTGTTATATAAACTAATATAATAAACACATTGTAAATGTGCGTGCACTTGTGCGAAAGAGCATTGCATATATGCTTTATGCGTTATTTCTACATTATTGTACATCGTCAATGCAGAAAATCCGCGGTCTAATTATTCTAAAACGTTTTTATTGGTCGTAAAAGTAAGCAATTTGCGGAAGGTCGCGATTAAAGGAGGAGAAATCGCTGTAGCATAACTGAAGCATCGATTCACGTTTCAGTGACAGAAAATGGAAATTTATATCGGACGAATTCATTAATTCCCGTTTACTTTGTTAATGGATTTTATGGTAATATTCTCTGGTTCGATATCGGTGTCCACTGGAATACACAAACGTGTTCTAGTTCATTTCAACACAGTTCCGCAATTACAAACGAATAATTACACAAAGTAAAAAAGATAAAATACTACAATTTAAAATTTTCAACGCAATTTTTATTCTACGTTAAGGAAATTTGTAGAGCTTTAAATTTATATAAAAATTTGTTTGAAGGATTTGGAGTACTCAGGGCAAAGGTTCTTGTAAACGAAGCAGAAACGTTTGATAGAGGAATCAAAATTTAATATTAAGAGAAGAATTAGCGGTTAGAACAAATGCAACTTGAATTCAATCTCCTAGTGGTTCTCGGTTTTCGACAAACCCTTTGGAGCTCCTGGCTTCCAGTTGTTTACTCAAAGTTCAGCGGTTCCATTATAACGTAGGTAGTGACTGGTTGCCAGTCACGAAACTATTTCAAAGAGAATATCAATTCGGTTAACTTTGCAGTTAGTCTTGCCACCGTGAGTTGTAATTTCGAGAATCAATTTTTCAGTTGCATACACCTGGCCAACTTGCGTCTATTACTTATTAAAAAGAAAGAAAGAAAGAAAGAAGATATTATTAAGAGGATATTATATTATTAGGATATTAGATATTAAGAAGATAAGTTGTAATATTACATTGAAATGTAACGGAGATGTTTATAAAATCCTATTCAACTATATCTTCTTAACTGGAATCACCAAATCTACCAATATGCAGAGTTCCCAAGTGAATTGGTGATCTCAGCAGCAATTGTTGTATAACGAAGGGCGTTGGTACTGCAAGCTTTACATAACAGCGTGCATTGTTTGTTTAAGAATCCGTGGAGAAGAAATGTGGTTACAACGGTCGCTGGGAGGGCCAGAACGGCACCAGCAACGAGGACTCGCCCCACGGCTGGGCAAACTACACGACCTGCTTGACACCGGAAATGCTTCGGTTGCACGGGAAAGTTTACACAAACACCATCGAGGGTAACGTGAGTATCACTCGAACCTCGAGACTGGCGGAATATAAATGAACTCCTCGTCGCTTCTTTTTCGTTATTCCAAAGACTGTATCCAGAAGAAGATGAGGAAAAATTCTATCTGAATAATGGATGAATTATGTCACCTTGGGGACCATTCAACTCGTGCACGGAACATTCTTCAGCGTTGTTAGTAATTTAGATATTCGAGAACAATAACTGCGGATACTTATGCAGTTTAATGTTTGTATACATGCAGAAAAAGAAATTGTACGTTAAATGAATTGTTTTTATATTTTAAGCTGTATAATATGTACGTTTGTTGTATTTAATTTGCGCGCATTCGCATGGATTTCTCCATATTTCCATGCATAAACATTCTCACGCGTAATTATAACAATTAAAACGGGACACCCCGTATACATGACACGCGATTATGGCTGCTTAAAGTTTCGAGTGGCATAAAAGTGGGCCAAATCGATTCCAGGCGGATAACAGGAACGGGAAGAAATTAACTTGTGAAAGAGATCGATGAGCCCAGCCGGAAGAAAGGCCTCCGGCCTGCTCTTTTTCTGGATGAAAGCTTAAATGGCGAATATCTATTTAATACAACTCTGGAAACTGTCCAACTGAACCATTATCAGCCCCTCTGTACCGTTTATTGCAGTTTGAAGGCCACTTATCGTCCTGTCATTCAAATTAAGGGGACAGGTCACTGTTTGTTAAAGCTCTTTTAAGAGAGTATTCGACAAATTTTGACTACTGGGTGTATTTGAAATTAAAAAAGTCAAAATTGTTTTAAACTAGACAGTATTAATTAATGCAGTTTAACCAAGACCACGCCCTTGTATCGTCTTTGATTATTACCTTCGTCTGTCTTTTCATTTCAGATGAAGATGGACATAGCCGAGAGGACTCGAACACTGGAGTTTGTCGGTTTAAGCATTTCCTTGGTAGCACTCCTCGCCTCGCTCGCTATATTCTGTCGATTCAGGTGGGAAGTTCATTATTTCCCGAAGAAACTGCCAACTTCCTTCCTCCCACACAATCTATTTCCTCCTGAAGAACTAATTTCAAGAGTAACGAGTCATTGCTCCGTAAATACAAAATTGTTTCGCTTACTGTGACCTCACGTGGCCAAGTTGGGAGACCAAGACCTAATCCAGACCTACATAAACCTACCCAGACCTACATAAACCTACCCAGACCTAATCCAGATCGAAATTCAAACTAAAACTAAAACTAAACTATATTTAAGTTCACGGCAAGTGTTTGTTTTCTTTTATTAACTGTATAATGTAAATCGGCGTGAAACTACGTGTACCATCGAATCATGGCAAACTCGAACAGATATCCGTCGTAGAAATTAATTGTTAGTATACTTTTGAGCGAAGCGCAGCGCGTTCCCATTCGACTCTCCATTCAGGGTATATTTATTTATTCCTCCGTCTACCGTGTTCCATTAATGAACAAAAGAACTCAACTTTGTGTATGGCAACGATTCACCGTCGAAAGATGGGAGAGTGTGTTTGTTTCGCGAAACTGGGTTAAGCTTTTCCTAAGACGTAACATTACTGGAATGGAAACACTAACGATGTCAAAGCGTTCAGAATGCGTAACGTCCGTTTCCTCTCCGTGAAAGTAATTGTTTTATTATCTCCGACGCGAGACTGCGAACTCGCAAAGTGAATTCCTTTTTTAATAACTCGTGATTTCTGAACGGATTTCGACGAATGAAAATGTATGAGGATGTAGATTCGCTTCCCTTTTAACGAGGTCCTACTGTATTTCTTTAATCAGTGCAATTGAAATCACTTGTTCGTCGTATGCCATAGGTCCCTAAGAAACACCAGAACCAGAATCCACAAGAACCTGTTTGTCGCCATGGTTGTCCAGGTTCTTATACGCTTGACTGTGTACATCGACATAGAGATCCTCAGGAGAAAGACGTATGGCATTCAACGAGGCATTGGGAACACCGTAAGCGCTTATAATAATTATTTATTCATTTATATTAGGAATTGTTAGAAAAGCATGGCATGGGCTTATTTCTGTTACAGCCCGTTCTATGCGAGGCTAGCTACGCTCTGCTGGAGTACGCAAAGACCGCCATGTTCATGTGGATGTTCATAGAGGGTCTGTTCCTGCACAATATGGTCACTGGTGAGTCTCTTGGCGAAACCATGTTTTACAGGAGAAGTGAAACATTGGTCCAAGTAAATTTATCATCGACCAGCGCGAGGATATAAATTAAAAAGCGATACATTTACGTATCTCTCGAACGACTATTTATTTTTATCTCCACTATTTGCTTTAGAACGGCGTCAGGGAATATACGGCTACACTCTTGTTGTAAAAAAGGAAAAGGAAACTATTTTTTAATACATGAAAGCGAAGTCGCAGGGAAAATTCAGTGGCTGTAGCTCGTCCAGCTGTCGAGCGTTCTAACCGTGAGCACGTTTAAGTATGCGAAAATTAAACATTTCTCAGCTCCCAGCAACCGTCCCATTTTTCACCCAACACAGCCGTCGCGTACCGTGAAAACCTAGCGAGTTTGATGAAACATTCCTGAATCCCTCCGTCCAGAATTAAAGACACGTCTTCTCCCTTTTTTCATCTGGTTCTATGGATTTGTTTGTCGCAGTCACGGTATTCCAAGAGACGTCCTACTACCGAATGTACAGATTCGTTGGATGGGGATGCCCCGTTCTGATGACTCTCGCCTGGGCCGTCGTCACGGCGTTCTATTACCACCCGAAGTCCAGGTAGGCCGGCACTCAGACCTGGGACGTTAGAAGGAATTTACTATAGAAGTCCAGGAATCTAATGGCGTAAATTGGTGGTTGCACCTTTGAGGAGATTTAACGCGATCATGTATTTTGATCATAGTCTCTTAAATGAAGTAATTCGTACATTTCGATTGATTCAGTCTTGGTCTTCAATTAAATTACACAAGTCATGCTCCTCAACCGATGTAATTACGTTGGACTTGATTTACATAATTCACACATTTCACTAGATAGATTGAGTCACGTTGCAATTGAATGATATAATTCTTATTCTTGGATAGACTTAATTACATTGTAATGAAGCAAAACGAATGTTAGATTTTCCAGATGCTGGTCGGGATACAATTTGTCTTCCTACTTTTGGATCCTCGAGGGTCCCAGGTACGCGGTGATATTGGTAAGGACGTTATAACGTAAAAAGTCAGATAAATAGGCGTATAAGAGATCTGCGTAAACGTATCGTTAAAGTAAAATTTGCCGAGATTTGCAATAGTCTATACATTGATTTCAATCCTCCAGTTCAATTTTCTGTTCCTGCTGAATATCGTGAGGGTGCTCGTGGTGAAGCTGCGACAGAGTCACACCAGTGAGGTAGAGCAAGTTGTGTGAGTCGATTAAAAATTTTGAATATCTAACTCTAAGGCGGATTAGAGTCGTATAGGAACGTATATTCTTTTGTAGAAAGGCAGTGAGAGCTGCCGTGGTGCTTCTGCCATTGCTGGGCATCACCAACGTGCTCTTTATGATCGAGGCACCCCTGCACAACGTGAAGAAATTCGCGATTTGGTCCTACTCGACGCACTTTCTGCAGTCCTTTCAGGGCCTCTTCATCGCGACCCTTTACTGCTTCCTAAACGGCGAGGTGAGACATGATGCCACTCAGAAATGGGCGAAATTAGAAAACAATTACAAGTAATAAATGTTTAAAGTACAAAATGGTAGAAAGTAACGCTTTCATCACTGACATATCTTCCAAAAATGTCGCAACAAAATCGCCGTCATTGTGTGAAACTGTAAACCATCAAAATTATATTTGAAAAATAAGGAGGAGCCCGAAAAATAAGGTCCACCATACCGTACATAATTAGGAATATTCGTGGATCCTAGGATTTCAATCATAAATTATCCAACTTCTCCAGATTTATTTTCTTCCACTGACAAATGACTGTTTTCTGCACAGGTGAGGCTCGCCCTGGACAAAACTATCTCCGTCTACCTTTCCCTGAGAGGAACTGACCTCCAGGCCAGGAGGCAATCGACTTTCAGTGGCTGTCAACCTCAACGTATCGCGTCAGGTCAGTTCGAAAGACCTAGAAGTTCCCTTTGTAGCAAGCTTTGAATTATAATCAATTACAGTTTTTAAATTAAATAATTAATTTAAACAGATGTAATTAAAAGTTATTCAATTAACGATTTACAATTGATTTAAGAGGAATTAATCCAAAGCCATTTAATTTGAAATGTTAGTGGAAGGAATGCAGGTAAAATTAATTGATAGGTTTAATGACTTTTGTGAAATTCTTGGTCAAGGAGAAGCTGATGGTCTTGCTGCGATTACACATTAAACATTAAACAAGAATACTCTGTATATCGCTGGGTAATTTACGTTATATCGAGCGCAAGGAAAGTTTAGTTTATCCAGGTAGTTTCGTGCGTTATTGGCAAAGCTGCGGTCTCGCTCAAAGTTTGATAGACGCTAACACGTAGCAATGCAAGTTAGACGTATCGCCTTTCCGTATCCGAGTCCCGGATTGTTGGCTCGCCACGCACCGGGTGCACGTTTATCTTTCGCTTGAAACGCGTCTGGTAATTTGCCGACAGACTACACGTGCAATTATCCTAACACGACGCCATGAAACGTAAATTAATCGGTGGAACTTTGTTTAAATTGCGCCAATGAGCATTAACGACGCCCGTCGGGGTTGAGGCGAAGTCGTAGGTTTCGCGAAACTGCTCGGGCATGTCTAGGCGTTATCTTTGATCACAGTTGTCCTATTTATGTAACACTGCTGCACTTCAATTACGATGGTAATTTAGTAAGATTTGTATTTTAATTTGGTTGCGAGTGAATTACATTGTTCATACGTTTCAATAGATTACGTTACAATTCAAATAAATAATTCATACGTTTCAGTAGAAAATACGTATCTCGATATTAAAAGTCCCACTGTTTCAGGAACGTTCGCAGCCTAATTATCAAGATTTCCATGCGAAAGGACTATATAGGACGAGACGACGATCGAGCGAGTCACGATTTCCATTCTCGTCGCTCCCTTCGAAGCTTCCACGCATCCTTCTCTCTCGCCCCTAAATCGCGCATGAGATCGATTCGCCTCGAGTGAATCTCAGCCAACGCTTTTCCGGACTTTAAGAGCCCCCGGAGTGCTCTGGCTTTCGTTAATTTGATTGAACGCGGCGTACCTGACGACGAGTTTTTAGCGACGACTCTTCAGCCGACGCTATAGTTTTCTGACCTTGTTTTAAAAATAATTTCACGCGCTGAATTTCACCGAGTGCTCGCCAGCTTTTACACGAAATTGTGGAAACGAACTTGGACGGGTGGTTGGGGGAATGTATGCACAAGATTAAGATTAATCGAAGCGTGACAAGTTTCGAGTGCTTTAGCAAATATGCTTTTAATCGAGACTGGGCGCAGTCGTTCAGCTATGCTCGCTATAATTACAATGTAATCGAATTAATCAAAGAGTACGAATTACATCATTCGATTGAAACGTGACTCGGTCTTTCTGTCGAGATGCGTGAATTATGTAAATCAATTCCAACGTAATTAGATCAATGGAAATGTATGAATCATGTAATTCAAGTGCTCAACTTTTAGAAACGTTGGACGGATCTTGCTTGATAAATATCCTAATCTTTAAAGGTATTATCGATTAACGATTATCGACGGTTATAGTGATCGAGATGGAGGAGGAAGAGATCAGATCCAGTGGGTGGATAAGACTGTGCTGTCGAGGTGGAAACACTCCACCGCCGGACCGACCTGCCGAGTGAGTAATGATCGAGGAAAGCTCGCCAATCCGCATTTAGATCATTACCAGCATCGACGGTCGATCCTCCTCGCAAGATCATACCAGTAGGTAAAAACACGAGACACGCGCGAGCCATGCATGCGCTGCTGCATCGTTTCCCCTTGTTCTAAAACCCCCACCATTCCTTGGCAAGGGTACTGCCCTCCAACAAGTTGCTTTCATTCCCCCCAGAAGTCTTCCAAACGACGCAAACTCTACTACAGAATTATTATTTACCCCGTGAGTGAGGTCCACGTGTCTCAGATCACCAATTTCAACAAGTTATTATAATTTTACTGACCCTTAGATGAATAACCCCCCCTTCATCGTACTGTATTTTAATTCGCTCCATTCTCCTATCGTTCATTGAACCACGGACTTCTTTTCTTTCCCCAATACACTCTTCAGATATCATTTAGAGTTTCTTTAAAGTTAGAAATTCTCTCCATCGCCCTTCGATTTCTTTTCTTCGGTGCAACTCGACCCTTAATCTTTCTCCGATGATTCAATCATCGACGTTCTTCTATTCCGCTTACCTCCTCTCTTTCACTCTAACTCTCTCGCCCTGCGCACCTCCCTCCCTCGCGAATAGCACCACGCATGGGGCAACTTTAACCCTGACACAGCGTTTCGCCAGATCCTCGAAGAAGTCGATAAATGGAACCGCAGGCAGCTTGCATCGCTAGTGTTCACGTTTTGTATGATCTCTGTGTGTTGTGTGTGTGTGTGTGTGTGTGTGTGGAAATTAAAGATAATTCTCCAAGCGACGCCAAATTGTTCAATGTTAATTATCTTCATTGTTATTTTCACTTTCAACAACTGGAAACGATGAATATAGAAATTGTCTGAAGAACATATTTTAGATACAAATCTTACTCGCCCTGTGTATATATATCTATATATTCTATATGTTCTAACATAAATATATATGTGTGCGTGTATATTTATGTTTATTATGCAACATCAGTGGAACGTTTCCTGTCGTTACGAAGAAACCTGCACCCACTCCTGCAATTTCGCTTGAGGATAATCGCTTTCTCGCGTTCCAGAACAGCTGTCTGACCATGGAGTACCTCTGGCGCTGGACGGAAACAGCGAGATCTCCCGGAAATTACCAAGACCTGCGCCGCGAGCTTCATAGGGAGTTGGAGGAACACCTGGAGACGAGCCAGGAAGTCGAGGCATCGAGAGCTCGGTTCGAGACTCCGTCAAACTGACCTGGCCGAGCCGATGATTCAGCTCCAGGCTACGGCAGTCTCGAATGGTTGCGAGTCGGTAGATTCCTCGGTCGAGGAAACGAGGATCTGCTGATGGGAGCGAGTACCTGCAGACTGTGAAACGTGGCAGGTGGTGGACAAACTGTTGAGTGACGGTTCTGTCATTCTGTCAGTCTGGACGTTAGCCAGAAGGTCTGGAGACGATCTGTATCGGACTTAAAGTCTCCTGGATGACACTGATAGTAATCAGAGCGTGCAAGGGCCAAGTGTTTTAGACCGAACGTTTCATCGCGGGATGAGAGTTCACTTGGAAGACCTGGACGCCGACCCAGACGTTCAAGGGCTGGGGATATCGGGCTGCGAGTGTCATCGTGTGACGTAGAAGAATCTGGGAGAGCTTGGACGCCAGCCAAAATGTTGGAGGACCAGGTGTTTTGGACTGCGAGCTTAAACGACGATGTAGAAGCACCTGGAGGGATTGGTAGATCAGCCAGGGAGTTCAAGAGCCAGTGTTTAGCCAAAGACTGCGTGGACCTCGATGATATTCGCCTTCAGGCTAGACCTGCTTCAGCTATTTGCTAATTTTTTAGCTGCTTTTACCGGGACGACCACCTAGGACATCTTGGTTGCCTTTGACGATACGATGTCCTTGATATCTTGACAAAAAACTACCTAAACAATGTTTTACTTTTTATTAATTTTTAAATAATAATAATCCTCCTCTTCTTTGCATCGTCAGAGGCAACCAAGGTACTTGAGGTAGTTGAGACTCGTGTTCGATTTTAAGGAGCCCATCAAACGGTGCAATGGACCGTCGAGAGAGCGAGGGTTTATGGGTGATTAGGGTAGCCTGAGTGCGAAATTACAGCCTGATGCGCGGTATTCAAGTCAAAGCTTCCTTGAGTTGAGGAAATCAGGGACGGAAGGGGGGGAATTGATGAGAGTTGGCGAGTTTCGGAACACCGAGTCAAGGGATGCATGTTAACGACACTTTGAATGCAAGTTAACGAGTGGAAACCTTCCAAGTTCGAATGCGAATTTAATGTTCGTAAATCGGTGGAACGACTGAATAGAAATTCGAATAAGAAATTTTTAAGGTAATCTCTGCGTTGAAATTTGCCTTCGAATCGCAGCGATCGACGATTCGCCCACTTTTATTTGTGTAGGATGTTCTTTGTTAGGAGTCTCTATCGCTTGAAATTTTAGAATGTATCTACGTTGAGCTGTGTACCGTTTGAGAACGTTCGCGACGAGGATGTCGAGAGAAACGCCGAGTCGTTTGCGGAGGTAACTGCTTTCCTGGCCCTGAACCAGAATCGTTCAACGATTATCTCGCGAGATTCGGGCAATTACCACTCATGTTGAAGGACTCGTTCAAGTTCACCGTTGATAAAGCCGCGATAGTTGCAGGAAAACCGTGTGAAAATGCTGATGCAATGGGTTTCTTTTTTTTTTTTTTTTTTTTTTTTATGAAAATTCACTATTATAAGGGTAGGAGAAGTCGATACTTTTTGGGAGATTTAATGAAGTTTCTGTTTGGTTAAAGCAAGTGTATGGAATTGTAGAGATTAGAATTTATATGAAAAATTATCGACATTTCGTTGTACCGATCAAGTTGTGAGAAAATCTGTACCTACGGAGGAGAATTGAACCCTAACGCCTTCTGGCGTGCTACTTCGGTACCTTATCGTCGATATGTAATCTTATGTTTGATAACTACTTTTGGAAATTCAAATCATAAATATCCAAAGAAGTGTCGAGTCTCTGCGCGTATAATACTACATTTTCGTAAACAGAATTTTAAATCTACCAAGATGCAAAATTTCAATCGAATCGGTGACCTGAATGGCTCGCACTCTCCTCGCGAGACTATTCGAATAATTTTATATCGTACAAGTATTCCAATCCTACGAATAAACTTCGTGTATCATTATTTCGAAGTTTATTCGTATCTCTGTACTGCGATTTGACCCCAGTTTTGAAAACCCATTGCTAGAGTTTTGTTGTTCTCGTATTTGGATACTTGAATATAAGTGAATCCTCGATTATTCGAATATCATTCTCCCAGGGGGAGAGTCATTTTTCGAAAGCTGTAACGTCGCCTATCTGTCACCTGTGTCGAAAGCGCAGGGTAATTAGTCGTAAGGCCAATTAGCGGACGCGTCGTTGCTTGAATAATTTTTGTAGACGTGCGTTTTTTTAATATGTAAATAAATAATCGTGACATCGTGCGTTTGCAGTGTATCTACCTCCACGCTTCCCATGGAAAGAAATGGGTTTAATAAAACCTTAAGAATTTTAACGACGAAGTGTTGGTTACTTGGACAATTTTCAAAGTACTCGAATATATGAATTAAGAACTACTAATGGTACTTGGTAAAAAGTTTTATTGAGACAGCGAACGGTACAAAAATGTGTCGTAAAGTACAAATGCTTTTTAAAAGGAACATAGATTTATCTCGATAAAATATTTTCTGTTTGTGTTAATTTTTGTAAACAAGGAGCATATTCTAAGAAATGTACAAGTACGTCTCATGCAAATTCTTTTCAAGTGTAAAAATTAAGTCCTCGAAACTGTTTTTCTGCGACATAAGAATTCCCTAATGCTATATTACCTTCTTTTAAGATACAGTTGATAAACAATAGTAATGATCCATTAATGGGACGGATTCGTGAATTTGATCTTCAAGGTTTAAATGTAGTAAAGAGGGAAAAAATTGTGACGCTGTAAATACTTAGATAATTGTAAATAAGAAATTAGAAACTCGCTTAATTCTAGGTCAGTTGCAGGCAATGAAATAATATTCTACGTCGCGAAGACTATCACAGATGCGTTTTAAAAATATTCTACAAAGTCCGTTGGAAGTTCTATCGACTTGGCGATATCACTTTCAGCGAAAATCTCACACTTTGTTCTGCAAACAACTTTATGACTCAACCAATTCCTTATGTTAAATTCAACGAATGCACGTGTATTATAAAGTTTATGATATAAACACAAGAATAGAATTAACGCTAGAAGCATAGAAACAACAGTATAGCTTCGTCGGATGAAAAAATAAACTTTCACCTGGTTGTATAAGTGATTTCTGACTTAACAGGATAATCTCGAGAAAGATAATATTACTAACAAATATTGTCTGTTCGAGTGTTAGTGGACCTTTTTAAAACGCGATTCGAGGAAACCAGAATTCAACTAATAATTTCAGTTTGGTCTTTACTGAAATAGTATGAAAATAGTGAGCAATTTTGGTTAGAAAAAGGGTACCGTTCTTTTCTACAAAATACGATAGAAATGTTGATCTTTCAGCCTTTCATTTTCTATTAATCCTCTCCTCCATCTCCTTCGAAATCTGTTTTCAGTCGATCAAAACTCGTCGTGGAAGCTTCCCTCGGTGTCCACCATCTTGCTGCCCAGGAACAGGTCCATTTTGCTCAGAATTTCTGGAAGGTTCAGCTTCCCATCGAGATTCGTGTCCGACAGATTAATCAAATGCTGAGCTTCTTGAATTGCATGCCTCGGATTCGTTGGATCTATATACATCTGAACAATCGTCGTTGGAGTTAAGTATCTTTTAACGTTACAAATATCTTCCAATATTGTATTCCTTGCTCACCAAAAGCTCTATTCTATCAGCCTTGCCATTTTTATTTTTGTCTATCAGATGCCGAAACTCCTGTCGCCTGTCTTCGCTTCCACCCACGGTCTCGTGCTTGTCTTCTCTCAAATCCAGACCCATCCCGTCAGCAGGCAAGTCTGAGAACTCATCCTCTGTAAGCTGCTCGTCTCCGTCACGGTCTGAAAGGAAAGGGAACAGAAACCATGAAATGCATTGTTTAAAAACAAGGTAGACATTCAAGTGTCCTCTTGAGACACTCTATATAACAAAAACAATAAAAGAACAGTTGGTTCCTGACCAAACTTTTCAAACAGGTCGTCCACCATCTGCAGGAGCGCCCTGTGGCTACTCTCAGGGTGAGTGAAAGCCAGGAACTCGTCCAGCGCCAGCCTCTCTGGATCGTTCCTAGCGGCCTCGGTCCATCTAGCTCTGTCCCTCATGATGCTCTCTTTCAAGCTTCGCGACATGTCGCTGTGTTTCTTGTCGTGAGAGCTGATGTAGCTCTCGGGAAAGCCGTGCGACCGGAGAAAGTATGCGTGGTACTCTTCCCACGACACCTCACCTGTGAGGGTTAAACAGAACATCTTATATCAAATATATAAACTTCTGTTAGAATATCAGATCATCGCTTGTAAACAAACTAGATTAGATTTTATGCATTTACGACGTAGAGTAATATACTATATAATATGTAGAAGACACATGAAAGTACTTCATGTAAAAGTGCATACACCGTTTCTTTATATCATATTTATACTTATATTTTAC